TAGAACTTGGAAGTAAAAATAAACTTCAAATACTAAATATAATTTCCATATAAGAAAGGGTTATTAATCAGTGAAGCAAAATGAAGCTACTGGTAACTAGTTCGAGGTTAATTTTACAATTATTTACCTTTTCAGTTGAAGCTCGAAGGTTCAACAATGGTGAAATGGAAAGCTTGGATTCAGGTTGTCTCAAGTCACGACAATGCTTCAATTAGCTTCACATAACTTTTGTGATAGATTCTGGGAAAAGAAACAAATGGGAACGAGCTTGATTTTGAAAAATGAAGATCTGGTTTGAGAGAGGTTTCAGGTTCTATGGAAGCAGAATTTCTTTGGCTATTCAAGCTTGAAAATGAAGGTAAAATGATCCTCTATTTATTGGAAATGAATGTAAAACTCACACATGTGAAAAGGACTGGAAATCATGTGAGTTAAGATTGAGGTTTTGTAATTTTCAATCCATGTGAGATGAGGTGTGAAATCTATGAAAATGGACTAAAATCAAGTCATTTCAAGCTTGTTTGCATGCATTTTAGTGATTGAAATAAGTTGCACATGTACTGGTAGTCCTAGATTGAGGTTAGCATGGAATGTGTGACCTGAAACTTGAATCAAGGACATAGTCCATGGGGCCATATTCATAGCTAGGCCAAATGCAATCCACTCATGTGTTTCTTGATTATCCTTGAGCCAAATGATCCTTTCATAGAGTAGAACACAATGCAAAAAGAATTAATCCAAAAGAATGCTTGAGGTGAAAATAGCATGAGGTGGAAGTTGAGGTCGTGGCACTGAAAACCAGGTCAGGCATTAGGTCAAACAAGTCATGACCTAGTTTTATGCATAAGTAGCCTTCAAGATTTGAGGTCCTTAAAACATGAATTGATGTTTGACCTCTGAAGAAAAGTTAGAGGACATCAAGAGGGATGTTTTGCAAAAAAAAAATGCCCATAAACGTTAAATATTGAAGGAGTTATGATCTTTGTAAGTTAGGCATGTCAAAATTGAACTTAGGCTAAAAATTTCTAAGTCCACAAGATGACCTATAATGTCTTCAAATATTTGATGGTCTTCCAAGCACAATTGGCTCTTGAATTGTGAAGAGAAGTTGGAGAGGATGTCAAGATGAGTCATTTGCCCAAATAAGCACTCAAAAATATTTTGTGAAATGTTGAACTTAAGCTTGAAATGTTGACTTTTTGGTCAAACCTCCTTGAATAATTTTGCAACCTTGGAAATTTCCTTGCGTTTCAAGGCATCTTGATGATAATATAAACTCAAAATGATATACTTTTGATTGTCCTTTGATGAAACTTGCAATGGTTTGAAAAAACTTGTTAATGAAGGCATGGAAATAAACACATGAACCTTGAAAATTCCTTGAGAAACAAACCATCCAATCCTAAGATATCTTTGATCAAATGAAGTTGAATGATGCTTAGGACCCCATGATTTGAGATTATAGGTCATGCTTTGATGAATAGCCTTTGAAGATCAATGGTTGACCATACTTTGATTTAAGGAAACTCTAACTCTAACCGAGGATACATTCACATGATGCACTTGATTCCAAATCCTACCTTGCAAAAGAAACAAAAGGGACAAGGCATATTTTTGTTTTGTTTTTTTTATTAGTGGTTAATAAAGTATAAAACATATAAGTACAAAAAGAAAGATACACAAAGAAGTGCTTGGTGATCTCTACAAAGACAAACCCAAAGGTGGGAGGATTAGGAGATAATCAAGTTTGTGATCTTGATGCATTGTACAGATGCAAATGGGGGTGGAATCTTAGGGTTAAAAATTAGGGTATGACACCCAGTATTTAAGGGATATGACCTAATTGGCAGACAAAAAAAGAACGATAAATTTCCTAAAAGAACGTACATTTTCGATGTAACAAAGTGTGATGAGATTTTCGACTTATTAGTTAAAGATGGCCAAATTATAGTACCACCCGGTGCTAAGATACCCTAGTTAAAACAATGGAAGAAAAGAGGATTTTCTAAGTATCACAAATTTTTAGGTTACAAGACCTCACAGTACTTTCTTTTTAGGGATCTTGTGCAGAATGCGATCAAGGACAAAAAGATAAAGTTCAGAGACAAGGAAAAAGTCCAGATGAAAATTGATTCTGATCCCTTGTAGGTGGTAGATGCCCAGTATACTGAGCCTGCAGATGTCAACATGGTCGAAGCCACTGAACGCCATGATAAGGAAAGCGCCATGGTTGAAGCTACTGAGGGTTTCAAACATAAATTCGAAATGGCTAAGGCTATTGAGGGCCTTAGTGTCAAGTTGCAGAAGGTTGGGATTACTGATGGTCCTAACTTAGAGATCAACATGGTTGAAGTAAGTGGAGAAGCTGACATGGAAGCAGATGAAGGAAGCATCCAGCGAAATGAGGACCAAATGAAGGTTGCTTACCCCAAAAAATAATGAGGATTGCTTACTCAAATAAAAGTGTGGTTCGAGTTAGTTTTACCAGACCCCACAGTGGACGTCAAATGTAGTTACGGTAAATACAATAAAGATTATCCTACATGCGATGAGATGCTCAAGGAGGCCTTTTTGGTTCTAATCGATGAATGAAATTTTCAAATTGTATAACTATGCATTTATAGGCTCGGCCTCTTGGCCAAGATGTTGCTAAGAAGACCGATTCCAACACCTATATGTTTGGCCACCCATTTCGTAGACTCAGCTAAATCATAGGAATAAGTGGAACTAGTCATCCCTTTTAATAGAGAGTGAAGTCGTTAACTTACAAACCTAATAGTGGTTTCATTTATCTCTCCAATACATGGCTTGAGACATTCTTCCTGTCCAGGGTTGAGACGTATTAGACTAGAATGAACGATCCATGAAAAGACGTATTTGACTGACACAAGATCATGTAATTGTCGTGTGATCCCTCCGTTTTGCATCAAACTCTTTTTATATCATTCTTGGACTAGTGATTGGATGACGGATGACTGACCTCTTTAAGGTCTATTAAAAATATATATTGCACAAAAAAATCATCCAATTAAATAATAATAGTAAATCTTATGTGAAGTATCATATTCGATTTTGGATATATAATGATTTCCAACCTAATTATATTATTAATATTGACTATATAATTCATTTTTATTAACAATCAATTAATTAAAATTTTATTGGCACCTAAGTGGTGGTGCAAAATTGAAAATGTGTAGACCAAAATCTATTTACATAATCATTTTATCCAAATTAATTGTCAAATAAAAAATCAGCAAATAAGGAATTTCAAATTTTTTTCCTGAAAAAATGGAATTTTCATTTGTATAATACTTTTAAAATTTAAAACTTGAGGCTATCTGAATCACACTATTCACTATCAATATCAAAAATTAAAATTGAATCACTATACACTATCAATTAAATAAATAAAAAAATGAATCACTATTCACTATGAATTAAATTTGCATCAAGCTCTACAAGTTTTACTATGCTCACGGTTCTTTAAAGAAATTCAACATTAAAGTACCAAAAGTAATAGTTATTGTTTTTCTTGTCAATGAATGTGATTGAGTACAAATGTTTTTTCCATTTTTGGATTTCATTTAATGCTTATCAATGACAAAAGTTGAACACGTTGCAGAGATAGACGAATCGACACTACCTGGTCCATTACTGTGAAAGTGATTCTCAGTTTTGCATTGATTTCGAATTCTCTTCTTGTTTTAGCCGATGAAGTTTAAGTTTACTTTTTTTACTTCATTACTATATTTTGTTGTTTAAGTTTACTTTGTTAATTTAATTGTTGTTGATTCTTTTTCATTTGTTGATTCGTTAATGGTGTTGTTGTGCAGATTATGAAGGAGAGTGGTGGTGATTTCTTGGTACGTTTCTCTCTCATCGATTTCATATGATATGATACTCATTGCACAAGATATCATTCGCACGCGCAACACGCGCTTGAAAAAGGAATAATTTTCCAACGCGCTGGGACCCTTTTGAGAACTGGACGAGTGCATGCACGCGGGCATTCTTCAGTGCTATTTGGTGTTGAAAAATAAGAGACCATAGTTTAGAAATTTGATTTTACAATATTATACACACAGTATAGTTGGTTACACATTATGCAGATATTTTCTCATGATAAAGTTTAAATACCGAAGAATATTGATTGTTTTATCATCTTTGAAATGTTTTAAAGGAATGTATAGACATATAGGGATGATATAATATGATAGATTAAATAAACTTAGACGGGGTAAAAGGAAATACTACAATAATATTATATAAAAATGTTAGTATTAATTACTTGTAATTTTATAGACAAGATGTTATTAATTTAAAATTATTCTATAGTACTAATTAGTAATAACCTTTTTAGCCCTTTTTCAATGGTGAATGTTATTATTTCTTTTTATATATACTTATTAACAATATCGAAACATGCTTATTGAAACTAAAAATGTACTTATAGTAAAATGTGGTGTTTTTAGGGTTCTAATTGAGCAATGATTCAAAGAGAATATCTTCTTTTTCATAAATAAAATCGAGTTATGATATCTATTTTCTTGTATATTTGGTTTTTATTCAAAAATAAAAGTATCCCTTTTAATTATAAAAAAGTATATATGAAAAAGGGTATTGTTTATATTTGCTGCATAACTAAATTGTGTCCCTTTTATTTACTCTGAATGAATCAAGTAGTGGACCACTTCCACGTAGGACAAGGGCAAAAGCGAAAATAAGCTTTCTTTGGCGAAACATGTCCTGCTCTCCTCACCCACGTCTGATTCATACGATACTACTCATTGCACAAAATATCATACACACGCGCAACACGCGCTTGATTCTGTTATTATGTTGAAAAGGGGAATAACTTTCGGTGGGACCCATTTGAGAACTTGACGAGTGCTGCATGCACGCACGCATTCTACGGTGCTATTTGGTACCCAAGGGTTCACTCTCACTGTACTCGTTTTAACGGGAAGAAAATCCCCACTGTGGACAACAAGTACGTGATGGGAACCGAATTCGCCATTAAAACACTTTGCAGGAGCATCTCAGCTGACGAGTTTAGGCAAAAAAGAAACTCATGGAGCTTCGAAGAAAACTTTCTAAACGATAACAGTCCACTTATCGATGACGCTGCTTCCAAGCAGGGTCCATGTTGGTCTCAGATCAAGTTCACCGGTATGCTGCAGTGGGGCCAACGCAGGCAAGTTCGGTTCCTCGGCCGTCATGACGAGCATGAGCTTCAAATGGGAAAAACGCCCATTTTTGAATCCAGGGAAATGACTTATTATAAGAAGAGAAAGAACATTGAAGAAGAAATGGAGGGTGTCAAGGTAGCTCCTTTAGGGGTACTCAGGATCACTCGTCAGAGCTTCAAAAATCAACAAGATATGACTAGTACCAGCGGGGCTAAAAAGTCTAAGAAAACAGTAAACGACACTAACAAGCAGCAACAGCTCGTCGTTTATAGCAAAAAAGGGCGAAAAATATCCATTGACAGATGGTCTGCTGAGAGGTATATGGGTTTTTGCATTCAGTTTAGTTTTTCTCTTGGTTTTTCATTGGCCTTAGAGTTAGTTATTGATTTTCTGTTAAATATGCATTTGAAGGTATAAGACGGCAGAGGAAAATATGTTGAAGGTAATGAAAGAAAAAGAAGCTGTGTATGGAAACCCAATAATGAGACCACACTTGCGCTCCGAAGCACGAAAGTATATTGGTGACACAGGTTTACTTGATCATTTGCTCAAGCACATGGCTGGAAAAGTGGCACCAGGAGGAGTTGAAAGATTCCGACGACGGCACAATGCCGAAGGCTCCATGGAATACTGGTTAGAGAGTGCGGATCTTGTTGATATCAGAAAGGAAATGGGTGTACAAGATCCTTACTGGACTCCTCCCCCTGGATGGAAGCCTGGAGACACCATTTCCCCAGATCATAATGTACTCAGGGAGATAATGGAGGAAATAAATAAGTTGAAACGGTACGGCTAATTCCATCCATCTTTTAATGATTCATTTCAATCATGATATTATTGGTTTTTATTCTAGTGAGGATTCTAAGTCATTGGTTGTTTTTCTTGACCTACAAACAGAGACATGCAGGATCTCAGATCAAAAATGGAAGCCATTTTGGTTGTTACTCATAGTTCTTGTCAGTCAAATTTAAGCTATGAGTACCATGATTCCCAGTTTTCTTCTAAGCAGGTGAGGGGAAGAGTCACATTGCATATTTAGAGAATATAAAGCATCCACTTTTAATGCTTTTTCTATTTTTTGTATAGCAGGAGATTTACGCTGACCTGGTTCATAAAAAGGCTAAAGTTGAACAACAACTAAAAGAAATTACTCTGACTTTGAATGGCATGGAGGTAACATAAATATTGAATTGAGTCCTCATCGATTAAATGTTTTCATATCCTTGCGAATAACTCTCGAAGAGTAATAAAAATCAATATTGTAATTATTCTGTTTCAAATTAAATGAAATGGAATTTGCTTGCCACTAATGCAGGGTCAACTTGGAATGCTGAAGCCAACAATGTCAGAATCATTAACACCACCAGTGTTATTGCTAGGACCAACATCATCATCATTGACGGAAAACATTGGAGAAGTGAGTAATGACAAAGGAACAAAATCAGCGGAGACACAAATGGTGCAAAGCAGCGCAGCAGAGGACAAGGCAGCAAAGATAGAAAGACTGAAAAGTGGTTTTAAAATCTGCAAACCAAGAGGGACCTTTGTGTGGCCAAATATGAGCGTGTCTGTGGCTAACCTTGATGAACTCTCTGTGGTCCCAACCCCAACCTCAGTTTCCTCTTCTACCACATCACCTCCCAACCTTGTCTCCAATTCCAACACTCAGAACTTGTCACTATCCATACCTTGTCCTTCTTCACCTGTTAAGCCACTGGCAGAGAGGCGTCCTGTGAGCACAGCTACTTTGACACATGTCACTGGACCCTTTTCCCCTCCATTAGAGACCCCAAAATCCATAATCACCAACAACGATTCTTCTATTAACCTTAATGAGACACCTCTGGCCCAAGAGTAGATGCTTTTGCTGCCAAAGTCCTTCTACATACATATATATACTTATATCTATAGATATATATATTTGAAAGAAACCACATCATTTTGAGACTCGTGTTGGTATTAGTAGATTGAGCCAGCTTGCAATATTAATGTGGTTAATTTTGTTTGCCTGTTCAGCACTTCATAGTTGAAGTTTGATATTACAATTACCTTCAATCGAAATTGCAAATCACACGTTATAATTAAACAATGCCAAATGCTAATATATTATCTGGATATTGACTCTTACATGTTGTAGAGTTTCCAGGAGATGTGAAATGTTAGGATTAGGAACACATGCAAGTTGCAAGTCATTGAAAAGGGATTGCGTCCTTATTTTGTGTGTTCAACACTTGATACTGTTAAACCAGGAATCTTGGTTTATTTCCCATTAATAAAAAATGATAGTCAGGGGTACATACATCCATTTGTTCTACTTGACATACTAATTTTATATCCTTTAGTATCTAAAGTTTGGAGATGCTTGCCCCTATGACTTTTTTTTTGTGTGTGTGTGTGTTTTCTTCACTTTCTCACATTATTTATTTTGTTCTAATAATAATCCTATAATTCAAATATATTTTAACTTATTTCGATTAAGTTTATTTGATCAGTAATGAGGGGAAAGGCACTAAAAAATATTATAATCTGTGTTAGTGAATGTGTTCTTAAAATTATTTAACTATTTTTTATTTTTTTTATTTTTATTTATGTCATTATTTTAAGACTAATGCTTACATATGCCTCAATAGAAATATTTTTTTGAAATAAGCGCATTTAATTTCTTAAAATTTAAAACATAATGTTATTCAATACAAATTTTTTAATTATAGGATCCTTACTTTGTGTCATTAGGACACAAGGTAGCAAAATTTTTATTTTAATTATTTTAAAAAATTACATTTTTCATTAGCCAAAAAATACTCTGTTCGTAATGGTTTATAAATAAAAAAATACTCATTTTTCTTGTAATAAAATATGAACAAAAGATATCAATTTTATTTTATTTAAGCATTTTTTTTATATTTAAAAATGCATATTTTCTAAATTAAATTAAATATAAATTGCATTTAATTTGATTTCTTTTTTATTTTTTTCATAAATAACCACCAATCAAAACTATTTTTTACATCTTTCTAATAAGACATACTTTAAAAAACACAAAAACTTAAATTTTCTTAATAAGTATGAAATATATTACTTTTTTGTTTATAAATTATTACAGATTAGTACCAACTAAAATACATTAGTTATTTTTATAAGACTCAATATTTTTTTCCTTCATTAAACTCATATACACAAACAATTTTTTTAATTCTTTTTCATTTAAATAATTCATCAGCTCTATCGATTGTTATCATATTTTTCTCTTTATTTAATTGTTGTTTTCCCATTAAACAAAAAGTCTAAAATTTCCAATGATAATAGTGTAATTTCAAGTTGTAAACAATAAACTTTCATATACACTTATGGTATGAACTTGGTCTGGGTCCAAATTGTTTGAGAGAAGGCAACTCAAATCTCAAAAGAAGGAAAAATTCAGGAAATAGACACACTCTATAGATATAAAGGATTTTATATGACTAATTTTCGTAGTTTATTAGATAGAGAAAATCACATGATATCATAACACCTATTCTACGAGACAGTTGTCATGTAAAATGTTATAGGGACCCTAAATCCTAGCTATAAGGTCTAACAAATGATACAAACTCAAGGTACACACTATTCTAAAATCCAAAACCTCACACTTATGATCTCTGTTGATTTTATTGGTAGAGTGTTTGTAGATACACCCCGCCACCAGATTCAGCATACTAGGATCGTAGTAGAATGATGTACTTGCTAAAAAAAGTACATATGAGTGACACCCCTGAGCTGGTAGGGATGACCAAAGGCTTTACAGTTTTTGGGTGTTAGGAAAAGCTCACGAGAGTGAAGAGCTCTATTTCAGTTGTGTTTTCTGTATGGTTAGAGAAAACTCACGAGAGTAAGAAGCTATGTTAATGGGTATTTTCGATGAATATCAGAATGGCATTCTCAACCCTAAGGATGAGATATTTATATAGGCATATGAGCCTGGATTTGGAGAATCCTGAGAAGCAGTAATTGTGGGCATGACTTCTTCTACACATGGTTATGGATTGCGCACACGTTAGCATCCACATTTTCCCTCAAGACGAGCCACCTACTAACTGGGGCTCATGCTTAGACGACATATTCTAGGGTGGGCGCCCGATAAGGGATGGTCTCATATTTTTCTTTTTTGGGTCCTTACAAATATATCACTACATATTTCCTCAAGCATAAGGACTTGTAAAGGGAGAAGTGATTTAGCTCTTCATCCACACAGCCTTAACCATTCACTCGTTTCATATGAATCCCATAGTCAGAGGTAACTCCCTAAATTAGGGGTGAGTCATCAAGCCTATGTTAGGTGTCTTTTGTGTAACTTGTGTGTCAGCTGAGGGATATCAAAGATTGGTCAAGAGATTTCTAGAGACGTCAAATCATCGGTCTGTTATGGAAACTTCATCGTTTAGTGGCAAATAAGCGTGCATGGCATTTAATGGTGCTCATGATGGTTTCCTGGGGAATCTTAGTCTAGTTTCTTTTCTTATGTGTGTCTTTGACGTATGGAACCAACTCCCTTTCTCATAATAGTTGAGCTACTAAACAAGTATGTTGATTCTGCTATTGGTTTTTTCCTTATAAAGGCCCTACTTTGCTCCCTCTTATTTTAGAATTTCTACTATTTATTCAGAGAAGTGCTTCTTTGATCTTTAAGTTCGGATAGGAATAAACAAGATTATAGGGTTCATTAAGCTTCCAGGGATCCAAGTATTGCAGCCTTTTTAACCTCTTCCATTATAATCGTGAATTGATGGCCATGAAGAATGCCAAACGCGTCCATCTTCGAGATATTGTATCCTTATATTCTAATTCAGACAGGACCATGAGGTTCCGTTAGAATATTAGGTTCTTGAGTACAAGGCACGAAAATGATGTAATCTTTAAGGCTTGTTTAGAAACAAAAGGGACAACGCGACTACTTTGGATGGTTTATCTGCCCCTTATTTTTACTAACATCTCCTTGTCATTCACGAGTTATGGGTTTTGATACCTTTTATGCGGACTTTCTGGTAACTGCTAATCTATCCCTGTTTACGCTGAAATTTCGTAAACAACCGCTAGTCTCTATATTAAAGGTTACTTTCAGGATCAAATACAAAATCCTAGAACGTTGTGCTAAAAAATTGTACTTTTATAGTGTTGGTTGAAAAAAGATTAATTTTGACTTAGTCAAAATTGTTATAGAGGAATGTAAAAGGAATGACTTCGACAGTCAAGGAAAAAGACAAAGAAGATTGCATGAACAAAAATAAAGTGACAATGCTGGTAAAATAAGAATGTAAGTAACTGGAAAGAAATCACAAAAGGAATTTAAAGATTTTGCATTGAAGTAAAGATGGTGTTTCAAAATTCATACATTTTCTTAATCAAACTCATTTCTCTAACGTTGGTACTTTGACTGTACGTGAGATCCTGTGATGAAAACAAATGAACACCCCAAATTCTAACACTAGAAACTCTATTTATACTAATATGAAATAACTGCTTCCTAACGTTCCATTCTTCAGCTTTAGCCCCGTAGACTTCCGCATGCATTTCGCCCCTGCATTCCCTCCACGTGTCTTTAAGATAAAACTAAGAAGTAGTTACTGATTTTTAAACATATCGCTTTTACACGCTCATATAACCGTCACTTCGACACGCTTGCCACAGTCAAACTGTTGCTGTCGAAATATCTTCCTAACGCATTCCAAAAAATACTAAGTCCCGTTTTTCTCTATTTGAGACTTCTATGATGTACACGTCACCAAACGTTTCATTTCCCTTAACTTATGCTTCTAGTTAGATTTTCCCTTTTTGTCAAAAGTGTTAGCTAACAAATTGCCCTCTAAAAAGGCCTCTTTCGACGAAAAGGAGATAGGAGTGTTTTTGACTTTCTCAACACATTATTTAGCTAGTAGGATGACGTCATGAGCATCATGACGTTTCCATCATTAGTCATCTCGAAAGAGTGTGTTTCCCACTCAACCATAACTTTCACCATTATGACTACGCCTTCGTAGGGTGGCGTGTCTAAGTGTATCAAATAGTTTCGATTGGTCCTCTTAGAAGATGACACGTGCCAACCTACTTCGCGCCATTTGTCAAACACAACAACTGAAAGGTTTTTCTCCTTCGCTATAAATACTTTTTCTTCTATTTTCTTCCATTATTTCCAGAACCTTTCCTCTGCAAATTTTCTCTAAATTTACTAGAAAAACTCCCACACTCAAAACAATGGCTTCCAAGACAAAGACTAGAAAAGCTACCAAAGGGTCTCTCCCACTAGCTCACATGTATCTTCTGTAAATGTTGTTGGGAGTCAAAAATATGTTCCAGAGCCACCCCATTATGAAGACAAGCTTTGTATCTACAAGTCCCAAGTAATCATTCCTTACTCCATCTTTAGAAATATCCATTCACTCATGGGTCCAATTGTAACCCGGTGAACTGACTTTAAACAATGTTGCGGATAGCAAGAGTCGCCACCGACTTTTATTTTATCCATAAGGAAAGGTTATAAAAGAACAGGAAAGACCTTAGAGAATATTTTGGGTCCGGGGGGTAGGTTATGAAAAGGGAAGGTGTTAGCACCCTTTTCATCCATGGTTATCCATGGGCTCTTAGGTACTTAAGCTCACTTTTGAATTGTTTTGAAAGTGTAGTGTGTGAATAGCAAAAAATTTCAGAATAGTTTAATAATAATCCGTGTATGGATGTGGAAAAAACTTGTTTGAAAATTTTGTTGGAAATTTGTTTAAGTGTGAAAAAGTTTTGAAGTGAGCAAGTATCTAGGAGTAGCCTACCCTAATGTTTTAAGGTCTTTCTTATTCTTTATCCTTTCCTTAGTAAGACTATCCCTACTAT